TGAAATTATGCGATTCGGTTAATTTTAACAAAGAATGACAAAGGAAAATAGTCAGAAATTATGCAAAAAATGATCAAATTTTGCTAAATTATTTCTACCCTTGAGGACCATTTTCTATGTCTGTTGCCCGAGATCAAAATCTAAGTACACATATAAGTTAGTTAGGCATAGTAAAATCTCTTGATATGCAATTTTATTTTGGCATAGCTACAGCGGTTGCTATGGAAACGGCTGCCATCTTGAAATAAACAATGAATTCCAAATCCCTAAGGCTTTCTTATTTACAGAGCAAATATGGTGAGAGTATACCTGAACCAGACCCTATCAGAGTAACAGCGAGGTTTTTTCAATAAGTGCGAAAGAAAAATAAATATGAGAATTTTTCCCAAAGTATAAAAAAAATTGTTCTAAATTTAGGTTGCGTAATCGCTTGCCAGTTGAAAAGTATGATTTTTTTTCTCTCAAATATCTCTCTGTTACATTGATGGCAGCCTTGCCGTCTATGTCTCCTGAACGTTTCACATCAAAAGGATGAAAACTAAGGAAGGAGTAGGGGAAGAACTGCACCAAAATTACATTTCACAAAAAGCGACAATAATTGTAAAAATTGACTATATTAATCCATCCTCATGTTTTTGAAGGCAATTTACCTGGAGAATAAAGTCTTTCTCAATTGTATCCATGCTGTTTTTAGACAAAAAACTGGTTGATCTTAAAAAATCGAGCCAACCTAAAAATGTGCATAGCCTGACCCAAAATCTGCAAAATCAAGGGTCCCCTTAATACCACAATACTCTTATCACTAAAACGAAACTTTAAAAATAAATAATATATGTAATTTATGCGTAATTCCTGCTATTTTTACCCCGCAGACCTTGAGAGAATGGAGGAGATTCGTAATCAGGTCCCGCTCCGCAACCAGAGACGCCACGACCTGTACCGTGTGAGTGAGCCGGCCGAGGAAGACAGACGAGAGGAACTGTAGGAGGAGGGGCAACATGAGGGAGAGAAAGAGGAGGAAAAAGAAAAGAAGAGGAGGAGAGGAAAGATAGAGGTATGAAAAGATGTAAAGGAGAAGGAGAAGAAACAGAAGAAATGAAGGAGACGAATGAGAAGATGAAGAAGAAGAAGAAGAAGAAGAAGAAGAAGAAGATGAAGAAGAAGAAGAAGAAGAAGAAGATGAAGAAG